CAGCAGGACTTAGCTCTGTAATTTCAATGTGAGATCACAATTTTCCTGCCTTTGTACTTGGGGATCTTAGTGATCTCAGGATTTTGGTTTTTGATTTTTTTCTTTTAAGTTTGCTATAGAGAATGTGCTCTAACAGGAGAGAGACAGCAAGAGGCAGAGAGAAAATGAGAAAGCACCGGTAGGGGAGATGACAGGTCACGTTCCTTCTTCTCCTCTCTTCTGTTGAGATTTCAGGCATGCATGCACACACACTTGTGTTTTTTTCAAGCTTCTGCTCCAGGATTTGAACTACATGGTCAGTTACAAGGGATCTAGCCTCCTTAACCACCTGACCAATCTTCTCTTGGAATTTTTTTCAAAACAAAAAGAAATGATTGAAAACTGAACCTGTATCCTCTGAATTTCTTTGGTTCACAATAGGTATTTATATGCTATCTACTACGTACGAACTATGGTGCTGGTTGAATTAAGTTCCTGTGAACAATTCAGACTCTCTTCTCTCATGAAGCTGGCATCCTGGGAAGACTAACATTCAACAATTAATTACGTATTTCATTGTGGTACCTGCCATGGAAGAAAAGTACAGAGTGCTATGGAATAAAGGAAATGAATTTGAGGCTGAAGAAAGGCTCTTTGGCAGAAGTGGCTGTTGAGCTGAGATTTGTAGATGAATAGGGGTTAACTAGGTAAAGACAGGAGTGTGGAAAGAAACATGATTAATACAAGCAGCTCAGATGCCAGTAGGGGGCATCGTGGTTAAGGTGCTGGGTTTCCACATGGGCAACCGTGGTTTGAGTCTTGGATCCAGTGGCTTGAAAAATCACTCAGGGTATGTGGGTTTGTGCCCCAAATTCCAGGAAGAGCATGGAGGAGAAGGGATTGTAGTGTGACCATTTCCCCTGGCAGAGTGGTTTCTCACTTTTTCTTTCTCTGTCCCTGGTGAGCTCACTCACCCTAGAGCAAAAAAACTTAAAAAACTAACCAAATAAACATACTTCAAATATTAATACAAGCATATATACTTAATGATATGTTGAAGTTAATGTAAGTAAAAATAAGTATTATCCTTGTTTTTTTTTTGTACAAGAATAATTCAAGTAAGCATATACTCATCTATATCATAGAATTTCATTTTTTTCTTTCTTCTTTTTTTTTTTTTTTTTTTAAAGAGAAGTGACATACAATGTGTCAGTCACCTTTCGTGTCCCCAGATGAACAACTCTTTAGTTCAGGTTGTGAAATGGCTTCAATGTAGTCTGAGGAAATCTGCTGTAACCCACACGTTTCCTCTGGGCGAATCTGCAAACCACAATCCTGCAATAAAATGCTAGAAATTAGATGTCATAGTAATTAACCTGATGCACAGAGTAACAGATTCTAAAAAATAGTATTTTCCATGCCAGATAAAAGGATGCAATAGTCACTTGCCCTTCTCAGGATACTGGTTGATCAATAGTTGTTTGTGCTAAAAGTAGTTACTTGCCTGAGGGGATTAATATAAATTTTAATGACAATTTGATCTTTGACATTGATATCTAGGTTCTGGATCTGCTCATTTTTAAAGAAACTGAGAGGACATAGGAAATACTTGGTAAAAGTTAACAGATGAATTTAAATTCAACCAACATTAAGGACTCACAATATGCCAGCAGTGGAATCAGATGCATGTATTTGTTCAAAATACGACAATATATTTACAAGAGCAGGTATCACAAAGGACGAATATTATGCAGACATTTCCTGTCCTAAGCAATGCTTGTTGTAGTCAGACATGAGTAGAGATCTGTGATTTGTTGACTTTCCGATACTTCTCTCCTTGTTTCTCCTCTGCTCCGTCCACTGAGCTGAGTCTGTGGCCTAAACCACCCTCATTTTTTCTTAGCTAGGTCAAGAAAATGAATGATAGCTCATTTGGCATTGTTCTTGGAGCCTCATATTTTGCATACAAGAAATATTTAGTTTTAAAATGTATTGACCCCCAAAAGCTCCATATTTAGGGTACATTGCTATGCTGAAGACTTCATGAGAAATCCTCAAACTTTCTTTTTCTTTCTTTCTCTCTTTCTCTTTCTTTCTCCCTCCCTACCTCCCTTTCTTTCTTTCTTTCTTTCATCCTTCTTTCTTTCTTCCTTCTTTCCTCCCTCCCTCCCTTTCTTTCTTTCTTCCCCCTTCTCTTCCTTCCTTCCTTCCTTCCTTCCTTCCTTTTTTCTTTTTCTTTTCTTTCTCTTTCTCTCTCTTTATCTTTTTCTTTCTCCTGTTTTTCTCTCTCCCTTCCTTCCTTACTTATTCCTTTCTTTTTTTTTCTTTCCTTCTCTCTCTTTCTTTCTCTTTCTCTCGCTCTCTCTCATTTTCTTCTTTCTCTTTTTCACATTCAGTTACTGCATATCATTTGAGGATACCAAATGAATTGCCCCATCATGAATACACTGCATATCAGTCTAGTCAAAGACATTACCATATATATTACAATCAACAGATTACTTTTTATTTAGGGTCCCTTAAATATTTTGCTTGCTCCTTCTTCCCTTTGATTCCCTCCCTTTCACCCTCTCCATTTCCCACCCTTGTCCTTCACTGTCTCCAGTATCTTCATTGCTCTTCATGCTTTTATACCTTCCAATCCTTCTGTTTCTGCCATATAATGCTGATATTCGGTATATATTGAGTGAGGACACACAATGTGTCTCATTCATTGTCTGGCTTGCTTCATTTAGCAGTAAATCTTCCATATTTGTCTACTTCCTTTAAAATGCCAGGGTGTCATTGTGTTTTTATGGCTGAGTAGTAGTCTGTAGTGTATGTTCCATACTTTTTCAATCCATTCATCTATTCTTGGACATTTGAGTTGGTTCCATATCTTAGCAACTGTGAGTAATGTTGCAATAAACATGGATGTGCAAGTGCTTTTCTGACTGAGTGTTCTCTTAACCTTTGGGTGGATACCCAGGAGTGGAATTGCTGGGTCCTATGGTAGTTATGTTTATAGATCTTTGAGGAACCTCCATGTTGTTCTTTACAGTGGCTGTACTAATTTATATTCCCACCAACAGTGTAGGACTGTTTTGTTTTCACTACAGAGTTGCCAGCTCTTATCAACCATTTTTTTTTATCTTAGTCATTCTGACTGTGGTTAGGTGATATCTCATTGTAGTTTTGATTTGCATCTCCCTTATGATAAGAGATGTTGAGCATTTTTCAGATGCTTTGGCCATTCATATGTCTTCCATAGAGAGTTGTCTCTTCAACTCATTTGCCCATCTTTTAATTGGGTTGATCTTTGTTTCTTGGGGTTAAAAAGAAAAAAAAATAAAAGAAGAGAACTGATAACCAGAATATACAGGGAACTCAAGAAAGTATTTGTCTATGGTTTCTTCTGTGTTTTCTATGAATAGTTTTCTTGTTTGAGGTCTTAGGTTTAGATCGTCGATCCATTTTGAGTTGATTTTTGTTAATGGTGAGAGATTCTTGAGTGAATTGACATAGCTCCCAATAAAGTTCAATAAGGCCCAACATGGTAGTGCAGGTAGTAGGGCACTCCTGCACAATACTGGAGTCATATGACAAGGCCAAGAGTTCAAATCCCAGGTCGACCTGAAGATACTGGGTGCACCCATAATCCTGGCTGACTGAGATGCTGGGGAAAGGATTGTGGCATGGAAAGACCCTATCTGGGGTCTCTTTCTCTGTCATGAAAGAAGAAGTGAAACAAACAGGAATTTTCTTGCTTGAACTTGTGCAGAATATATTTTTGGTACATAATTTTAAAACTTCATTTATTTTTTTATGAACTGCTGTAGGAACTAACAGAACGGACTTGGGTGCCCTAGCTGACTGACCCACAGATACATGGCCACTGTTTCTTGTTACTGATTTCTCTGGACACCCATTTATTTCCTTACAGAAGCGTCTGGCCATAAAGGTATAAACAGGGCTGCTCATTTTTAATGTAACATGGTTATATTTTCTAGAGCAATACCAAATTGGGCTATTTGAGTTGGAAGGTTTATTGAGCCTTAACTAGTTTATTGGTGTCATGCAATCATTCCTTTAAGATGAAAGAATTCTCCCCATCTCTTATTAAATAATTTTAAATGCCCATCTAAATTTTAAGCTCCCTAAGACACTCAGCATCTTGCAGAGACCTGTTTATTTACTCTCTTTTGCTAGGCTACAACCATTCTCAGTAAATCAGTAGTGACTTTTCAAAATGTGATCATCAAAATCCTATGGTAAATAGCTGAGATGTTGGATATGCCAACGATCCTGATTTAATAGTTATTTGTTTAAGCCCCTACCATTTAAATACGTTTCTTTTGGTTTACGTTTTTTGTTTTTACTAATGTATTTATCAAGGAAGGTTATGTCTATTAAAAAACAAATTCCAAATTAAATACAATAACATTCAATACAAGTTAGTTCTTATTCTATAGTTTAGAGTTTGCTTCTTAGTCACTCAGGGATATAGAACCCTTCTATAAAGTGCTATGCCTTACCCTAAGATTACATAGTACTCCTCAAACCCTATTCATCGAAATGATTAAAAAGAATGACTGCAAGATTGCAAATTACTATGTATTGTAGTCACATTGTACCCTCCAGATACATACAGTTATTATATGTCAGTTTAAAAAAGAAGAAAACACAAAAGATCCTGGTTTGACCACCTCCCTCCAGAAAGGAAGAGTTTCCTTTCAGATAAGGGATACTCCTTTCCTCACAAGAGGTTTCTGAAGAAGCTAATTTCACTATTGGCACTTCTGGCCTCGAATTTCTTTGGGATCTTTTTCTTCCTTTTTATTCTAATTTTCTTATGTATTTTTTTAAAATTCAAATGCTGTACACTTGTACAGCTTACAGAATGGATTTTCTCACCATGAAAACATTATATATTAGTCCAATAAAAGATATCGCCATATATATTACCATCACTTTATAACTTATTGTCCCCAGTGTTCCATTGGAACAATGAGCAAAGGCATCTCCTGATATCCTGGAATTCTGGACACTTACTTGGGTTAAGGCCATGTAAACACTGGATACCAGCAGATTCTACCACATCTCATATTCTTGGCATCCTGACGCATGGACAAAAAGGCAAGACCTCTTGGCCATCTTTCCTCTAATCCTGCCTGTCTCACATTTGTCCACATAGGATATCTTACCCTAATTTCTACCATTCCCACTCATGGTAGGCACACCCTTCCACAACTCTCAAAGGTTTCACATAATGTTGCTTCCATCTTCTGGTCTTCCTAGAAACCACAGTTTCTTTTCCTCTCTTTCTTTTTTTCTTCCCTGCTTCTGAAAACAGGGACCTGAGAGCTGGAACAACTTTCTTATCTTATGAAGCAAAGGTTGAAAGAATTGTGGAGACTTTAGGGCTAATAACCTTGATCTGCCAAAAACGTTTTGTCTGTTGTTGTAACCAGCCACTTCTGTTGTTGTAAAAAAGCAAAATACCTCTTATTTGTTTAAGCTGCTTTTCAGTTAGTGTGTTGTTGCTAACAAACAGCCAAAATGAACTTAAAAGGTTATCATTCCTGATTTCATCCATCCCCCATAATTTTAATACTGCTGAAC